CTCTCAAAACACTTTTAACTGTCATGACACTTTAGATGTGCTGTTTGCCTCAGTGTTATTAACAAAAGCTTTTTTTGTTAAAATAGGCTGTAGAAGACGCAGGAGGCAAAGCAGAGGAAGTGACGCAAGATGACGATAAACTTAACCAAGACTTGAAAGATATGAGGGAAGCTTTGGAGGAGAAATCCAAAAAGCTCGCAGAACGAACTGAAGGTGCTGCTAAGTATGATATTTTTAACACAGGGATCGTACTGTTTTAGAGCTGTGTGTTATGTCTTTAACTTATTAATAAGTGTTATAAAGTAAACATTATGTCAGGGTGTACATGTTGTTTAATTATTTTCAATTAAATATTAATTTTGGAAACCAAACCTTTGAATGGCCAACTATGATCTTGTCAGTACTTCAATGGTATTGAATGAGTTGCATGAAGCAAATTGCCCAAATTTCAGGTTTGAACATTTGTAGGCATGGTATTGCTATGTTACAGTCCTTAGAAAGACACTTTAATTTCACAGTTGCTCTCTCCACCCATATAGTACAAGCCCAGGTTGTTCGAAAGGTGGATAATGCTATTTACCGCATAAATCACTGTCCNAAATTTTTACAGTACAGTATAAAACTTTTAAGAAGCTCCAAAGCTTTTAGTTTCCTTTTTGGAAGGATTCTAGTTGAGACACTGCTGATAATATGTAACGGTTTGATAGAATTTGCGCCTTTCTCTCGTCGGTGTATCTGTAAAACCTTGTGGGAGCATATAAATTATCATTTTCACAGCTGTTGTTTAAGTCTAATTCGTGTTTCTTTTTTTTTACGCGTAAATTTTCTTTTAATTAGTTATCAGTATGTTTCAGCAAAGTGTCCAAAACGTTTGTCCGAAATGAGATAAAAAGTGTCCGAAAATTAAACGTCGGAAATTTTTGTGCAAATAACGTGCACAAAATTCCATGTCCTGTGAATGGCTTAGCGGTAGAGGATTTTACGAACGAGGGCAGCGGGTCAGTAAAATATTGTTTTTAACAGCAGTAAATAAATCTCATATCTTTAAGCTACCACGTGATTTTCCTTTTATAATTTAGACAAACAGACTGTTTATACACAAACAACTGTGAAAAATTGGGAAATGACGTCATCAATACCTTTACTAGTTAGGATATGGTCCAGGGTTTACTTTCGTATCAATTTTACAAGTGGCGTATTTTCCCGTAAAAACACTCATGTCTATATAATAAAACTGATTATGAAGGTAAAAACCTTTCTCAATGCGGGTAATTTAAATCATAAATTAAACTCTTTGATCCTACCTGTTGATTTGCGTTTTGACCCAGTGGGAGTTTGATTGCCAGGAGAGGATGACACAGATGAAGCGTCAGTAACAGCCACCATCTCCTTTGCTGACTTCTCTCGTTCACTCTGTAAATGGGAAAATAGCACATATTAGATCTCATTATAGCAAAGCACTAGATACCCTGAGAGACAGAGATTCATTTCTGTAGTTCTGCTCGGTGAGATGAGATGAAACCTCTCATCTCTCACCGAGCACAACTGAGAAGGGAATCTCTGTCTCACAGGGTAAGCACTACACTAATAACTCCAGGAGAATAACTGGTCTCCCTGGATGTAGTGGGACCCTGTGTAGTGTCATACTCAACAACAGTTTGTGCTTGACATGGGCTGCGGTCTTTACGTTGCAGTTTTGGACGAGGCCCTAAATTAACTTGTGTGTAAGTACCTTTCTCCTCTCATGTGCATGGTATGTACAGTGCAATGGGTAATACCACACTACTGCAAAAACCTGGCAATAAACTGGCCAGTGGTCAACTGTATTTTAATAAGTGGGGACTGTATTTTAATAAGTGGGGACATCCCCAGTATGGTGCCATTGCGCTTTTGGTTGTCTCCTTCTCCACTGCTTTTTGTTTGTTTGTTTGTTTGTTTTTAGTTAGTTATCTTAATAATTCATAATGTATTCGCATTGTATGGAGTAAATTGTAATAAATAAATAAATAAAATGTAGCGGTCTAACGAATGCTGGTCTTAGGAGTATGTTAAATTACAGTGTACGTACAGATAAACTAAGTCAGTTAAGGACCAGTCAACAGGTGCTGCTGACGTAGACATGGACATGAAAGGCAGGGTTTTCGACAGCTTTCTTTAGTATGGGATTTCTTCCCGAAAGTTCCAGATCCCAGAAGTCAACATTTTTCCCGTTGTGTGGATTGAGAACTGCGAGGCTGGTTGTGTACACCAAAAGCACTACCCTGAAGAGGAGTCTGGGGCAAACCCCCAAGAAAATTTTTCAAATAGAACTCTCAAAAATGCTGTTTCCAGCATCGCTAAGAGATGAGATAAAGATTGTCACTAAAACTCTCCCAAAACTTTCAAATATGAAATGAGCATGGACACTAATTAATACAGTAATTGGGAGGGGGGAAGGCAACAAAAGCACTCTCCATTGTATCAACTGACAACCAGATTAAAAATCTAGTATATATTTCTTGATTCTCAAAAAAGAATAAGGTGCTAGTCTTTGTAGTTAGCTCTTATGCTCTACTTTATGAAACATTTATGGGGTGCTTTGGCCAAGAAAAGAAAGAAATGCAAAATACAGCCTCCAACCTCAATCGAAATCTCTGGTAGTGTGGGTAATGGAACAAATAAAAACCGTGTTCTCTCAGTTTGTCTAATTGTGCAACTGACAGTAGTTTGCCAAAATCAGTTTACTGGTACATAATAACACACCTGAACAGAGACCAGCGCTGTTGACAGAAGCTGAAGAGTTTCAGACACACCTTCTCTTTTCGAAGCCCAAGGTTGTAGAAGCAACTCTACACCCCAGGAGGGGGACGCCCATGTCAAAAAGGTAGGGGATGCTTGTTGTCTTGTTTAGGGGATATCAAGGATGGATTTCATCACACTTACATGCAGTGTGTTCACTAGAAAGTGCCACTACATGTACATGTACATTATATTTTTTAGCTGTCAAGGAATCTTTTAGGATTGCTCTCAAAGAAATAATTAAAAAATTCCCCCTGTCCATTTCAAAGTGGTACCTTTTAGGTGTGAGATAAGGCTTGAGCCACACCCAGATTGGTCTCCAGCTACATGTAGCATCCCTGACCTTTTCACATGGGAGTCCCCAATGGGCTCTCTACTCCTCCATGCCCCCCCTCCCCTCCCCTCATAAAATAACTTTCTTTGTGTATGCAGTTCATTCCTCATGAGAGAAACCTTCGCAACAACAAATCAGAGATACTACACAGTGGAGCTTCCCTGAATCCAGACACACAGTCTACATGTATACATTACAGAAGGGCAGACAGACAAACATACATAGATTTAATTGAAATGGATGAACTGAGGATAGCAAGACAGATGTCTTTTCACCCAGACTAGGAAATTACCGGGACATACCTTTCCCAAACAGGATATGGCAAAGGTATACATGTGTTTCTCTGAAATGAACCAGACTAGCTACGCTCATTGATACAAGATCACTCAGATTATAGCACATCAAAGGAACCGATGAATCCTTGCCCAAAGTGGATTCACTGTTTGATGCATCATGATCCAAGTGACCTTGGATCACTGATCCAGCCTGATCTTGACCAATTTTCATCCCAAAGTAATGCACCCAATAGGATAATGTTCAAGATCAAACACAAAACCTCTAAAATTTGCTTTACAAATTTACACGTATGTAACAGCACTGGAATTACTCATTAAAAACTAAAATTGATATGTTCTTGAAAATTAATAAAATCAAATTAATACCTGAGCATGAACTTCTTTGCCATGCCTTAAAATGGCAATGATGTCCCCCATTATGGTGATCCCCATGTCTCGTAATATCTCCTAGAATAAAAATTAATGATATGTTATGAAAAAAAAGAAACACTTCTTTGTGAATTTAATGTCTTCTAAATTGTTAAAATCAAAGGGAAATGTTATTACATTGTAGAGCCAGTTGCCATTGCCACCTGCATACAGACTGGCTCTCAATGATATTATCTGTGAACCACTTCCATATGAAAATAAAAATTTTGTAAATAAAGTTTCTTTCTGGGTACAACATTTTCTGTAGGTTACCATGTCTCAGAGTTTGTCATTAGTAGTTTGTCCATCTCAAAAAATTTTGTCTAAGTTGAATGTAAAGCCTGTTATTGTTACCTACAGTGTAATCAGCAGAGATGTCGATGACATGGTGAATGTCAGACGGAGAACGAAGTCTTCTGCAATTGGCTCAAGAACAAATTTCTGAAGTGAATGGAAGTTTTCCAGAGACTTTGAGAAAAACAAAGAGCTGTAAGACTTGAGTTTTTGAGCTAGTTTAGTTCCTATAGTTGAGAAATGGTCATTGAGGATCTTGGATATAGATTTGCGGTCAAAGTATTGAACACCGTCTGCCTTGATGCAGGATATGGGAGTTCTCTCCTTTCGAGATGTTATGTCATTAAGAGTTTTCCATAATGCACTTGGATTTGATTTGTTTTCGGTAATGAGAGTGGTATAGTATTCCGATTNNNTGGTCCCAGTCAATGTCTCTAAGATCTTTGAGAAATTCCTGCTTTGAGTAGTGTTTGTATGACCGGTATTCAATGGTTCTCCCAGGTGCCTTGGGAACACCTGATTTCATCACGCAGAAGATTAAACAGTGGTCGCTCAGAGGTGATGAGATGACGCCTTTGTCAATAACGCGATGAGAAGTGCTGGTAAACAATAGGTCAATAAGTGTTGATGACTTCTCCGTTATTCTTGTTGGTGTATTAATTTGTTGGTCTAAATGGTGAGAATTTGTCACCTTGAGAAGTTTGCGTTTCTTGGCCTTATCATTATTCATCTTAGTGGCGATAAAATTAACGTTAAAGTCCCCGAGCAAAACAAACTCACTCTTATCGGTCAAAGAAAACAGAGATCTATTTAAATCTTCGATAAAAGTTTCAAAGTTTGTGTCAGGCGCTCTGTAGATTGTCCAGATAATCAATTTCTTGCATTTAGATCAAGAAATTTCAATGACACAGGATTCAGGTAACGAAGCACCAATGTCTGCTCTAAGTCGGTAAGGAATACCATCTCGAACATAGGCCATAGTTCCTCTTCCTGCTTTATGAAGTCGGTCAGATCTCACACAAGAATAGCCAGGAATCTGAATTTCGCTATCAGTGATTGATGGTTTAAGCCATGTCTCCGATAAAGTAAACACATCAAGAGGCTGGTTTAGTAACCAAAGTTTTAGCGAGTCCAGTTTGGGATACAAACTTCTTATATTTAAATCTGCGATCTTTAGTCCTCAACACTGCGTAAAATCTCTCACAGAAAGACTTGGTGGTGTAACAGGGCCAGGATTTAGTGAGACGTCGCCGGCAAGAGAAATAAGTAGAAGTGCGAACGACGCTGAACGTGCTAAGCGGCAGCTAGCAACAGCGAGTTCCCTGTTTGTTAGCGATGGCGACATCTTGCAAGAGTTAATCGACCTCCTTGGAAGTTGCAAATCGTACACTTTTGGCTGGCTAACATCTCTGGCAACGTGTAAAATGCTGCTATCGGCGCGTTTAGTTGGAAGTAGCGGTATTTGAGGCGAAAAAGTGAAGAGGACAACATATATAAGCAGTAAAAAGCAAAAATAGCGGGAGCACCGTAAACCCGTGATACTTGACGCCATGTTGAGTTGAATAGCGTAGCCTATACCAGAGCTAGTTCAACTAGGCCTGTGAAATTGATCTATGGCAGTATTTTTTTGGTATATGCTGACATTGCTTGACATTGATAAAAAGGTCCATTAGGCAACTCTATTTCTGATACACATAAGTCTCTTTGATTTGATTAATCAAAATCTCAGAAGTATGGGACTTAAGCTTACACTGCAGCATGTTTGGGAGGGAATTACATGTAGCCATTAACTGCAACCTCATGAACATTTTACAGTCTGACTGGTAAAATTCTTAAGCAAGTAAAACATAATCCGCACAGTTGACTGAGTACTTTATGTGCTTTGTATGATAACAGAAATGGCTTTCAGAATCACCAGAAAAACTATATTATTTACATTTTGCCTAACTGCAAACCATTACCAAGGTCTGAAATAAATGTTATTGGTATTACACTGTAACTGCACGATGTATCAAACACATTCAACAATGCTGATGACAATGTAATTATGTAATGTTTTACTTACATTTTTGCACTGGGATCTTTCCGAGGATCATAACCAATTCTTGTCCACAGAGTTCTCCAGGGACCATTAAGCCAATAATATGCAATGACAGCCAGCAGCTGTTTCATTCTTTCCTGTGATGCACTAGTTAAATGACATTGTAATGCTGCACGTGACCATATAGGTCTGTTAGAAAAGAGTTTCTTTATTGTCTCCATGAGTCCATCTTTTATTTTATTTGCTACTTCAACTGCTTTGGGATTTGCAGTAGCTGGGACTTCAGGCATATTAAAATTGGCAGCAATTGCATACGCAGGGCGCCTCAATCTTGTTCGTGTTCCAGCTAATCTAGAGGGCAAATAATTACCAGATGTTATATGTATGTATAACAGTGTGATAGTCCCACTTGTACATCTGCAGTTATCATGAAACATTTGAGTGATGGCTTTTTCTCAATGTACAGGTTGCATGTTACTAAACAAAAATACAATAACAAAATGTTATCCTGCTGATGAAATTGACCACTTTTGTATGAAGAAATGGCGGCAAGTGCCTATAACAACTGGTAGGTATATAGGTAGGCAATTATTTTCTGTCGCAACTCAGAGTCAACAATTTACTGGACAGGCCTGATGAGGCACCAGACAGTGCCAGCATTGAACTATGGAGCGTTACTACATGTATGCCAACCTGTCATTCCCCCCTTCAACTGACCAAGGTGCATGTAAACTGCTGACCACCTCACTCTGATAAGATGCATGCCCTCTCCCCCCGACATGTATATATTAAAAATGTGTAACAGCCATCTCATCATAAAGGACTTCCTCGCACCTTTCTTCATCAAGATCATCTCCCTGGTTTGCTTTACATCCTCGTGATGTTTGTGGTTCAGGGTTGTAGTTATAAACCGTTGGATGATCAAACCGTGTAAACACAGGTGGCTGCAGGTGAAAGGGAACATCTTGATTTAAGGCATCTGCATCAGTCACTTGCTTTAGAAAGTCTGGTATATCAGGAGCAAGGTATTGAAAATCTGCCATAACTCCAAATCTAAAGACATGAAAGACACAAACTACATTAAATAGAAAATAATATCACCTACGATTGCCTACTGTTGTCTTAGGAAAGGACTCTGCTGGGGTATCTCAGGAATGAAAATCCCAGGAGCCAATGGGATGTCTTTGGGTATATCAGTGCTTTCCCTCAAATAATTATAGTCACTTTAAATAAATGTACACCACCCCAGGGGTAGATCAGGCAGAAAGTGCCATCCACAGCGAAACATGACGTCCAAATTAATTACAAATTTTTGTCTGTAGCTTTATATGGGATCTATAGAATTATGCTTACATGTTTGTTTGTAAGCTTTTGTTTGTCTGGCACTTTATGTGGGATCTATAGGATTACGCTTACATGTTTGTTCGTCAGCTCTTGTTTGTGTGTCGCTTTATATGGGATCTATAGGATAATGCTTACATGTTTGTTTGTAAGGTTTTGTTTGTCAGGTGCTTTATGTGGGATCTATAGCATTATGTTTACATGTTTGTTTGTAAGCTTTTGTTTGTCTGGCACTTTGTGGGATCTATAGGAATATGTTTACAGGTTTGTTTGTAAGCTTTTGTTTGTCAGGTGCTTTATGTGGGGTCTGTAGGATTACACTTATATGTTTGTTTGTAAGCTTTTGTTTGTCTGTCGCTTTATGTGGGATCTATAGGATTATGCTTACATGTTTGTTTGTAAGCTTTTGTTTGTCTGTTGCTTTATGTGGGATCTATAGGATTACGCTTACACGTTTGTTTGTAAGCTTTTGTTTGTCTGTCGCTTTATGTGGCATCTATAGGATTAGGCTTACAAGTTTGTTTGTAAGCTCTTGTTTGTCGGGTGCTTTATGTGGGTTCTTTAGGATTATGTTTACATGTTTGTTTGTAAGCTTTTGTTTGTCAGGCGCTTTATGTGGGACCTATGGGATTATGCTTAAATGTTTGTTTGTAAGCTTTTGTTTGTCAGGTGCTTTATGTGGGATCTATAGGATTACGCTTACATGTTTGTTTGCAAGCTTTTGTTTGTCTGTCGCTTTAAGTGGGATCTATAGGATTATGCTAAAATGTTTGTTTACATACTTGAACGTGTTTCCCACTATGCCTAATATTTCCTGTTCATATTTCACTTCTTCCGGCTGGCTTGTTCCCTCTCTCTGCTTCTTCTTCCTCCGCTTGACTCTAAGCAGCAAGTTTGCGGTGGGAAAGCGATCAGCACACACAACATGTGCGTAAGGATCTTCGGGTCGAAAGGAAAGTTCTAATCTTCTTGTTGAGTTGAAGAATGTCCTTGAAACTGTCTCCTCGCCTCCCAGTGTTTCAAGCATGTGATTTTCATCCTTGATATATCCTGGATATTCTACACCGACGAAATTGACTTGATTAACCGTTATTCTACCACCATTTGGAGAGGAATCAGGTGAATTGGTGTTCTCGGAACTGCTCGATTTCTCCGCCATCTTGAATTGTCGACGTCAGCCGCTGACCAACATACAGTGGTGTCGACAAGGGAGAGGGAGGGAGTGCGGTGTGGTTTTCGAGGAAGAAAGTAAACAACGTGAACGAAGGCCACTTTTGATGAAAAATAGAGATTTTTTAAAGTGAAATCTACGTGAAATTTTATTTTCAGAAGTTATCGAGTACTTTTAATTCGATAATAGAATCGAAATCCCCCTGGTCATGCCAAAATTACTGCTCTCCTGGCTATCCCCTCCCTCCCAACCTCGTCGAGGAGAAGGGGCTGGGAACTTTACCACAGCGATTTTACTGGTCTGCGGTTAAATTCAACATGGCGGACGAAGAAGTGAAACCTAGTGCTTTGAGCTACGAAGTTTTGGCGGAATGCTCAACAACAAAAGCTCGAACTGCCATTTTAACATTACCGCACTATAAAGTAGAAACTCCGGTTTTTATGCCAGTAGGAACTCAGGGAACTATGAAGGGACTGACTTCAAAACAACTCACGGAATTAGACTGTCAAATCATTCTTGGTAACACGTATCATTTGGGAATGAGGCCGGTAAATCAACTAAAATTAACACTTTGATGTAACTATACTTTTGTCTTGCTAACTAATTGGTAATTAATTTAGTCTGCATTGTTAACATTTGCAAGGGAACAGAGATTTTAGAAAAAGCTGGAGGACTCCATGGGTTCATGAACTGGAAAAGAGCTCTCTTAACAGTAAGTTGCTACAGTAATTTAAAGAAGACGTCGGCACATGATTAATTGTTTTAAGGTTGACAATGCATGGTTTCCCTGGCTAATTTTATCTCAATTCTGACATCAGGATAGTGGTGGATTTCAAATGGTGTCGTTATTAAAATTAGCTGAAATAACTGAGGTAAGACTCAAAATGTTCCTTTTTTTCTCTTGATGTTCACTTATAACTCTATGTTAAACAGACACACAGATATATTAATTGATTTATTATTTTATCAATTTATTAATATAACATTATAAATATTTATGTAGTTATCATATTACTTATTTTATCAAAGGAAGGTGTTAAGTTCCAGTCCCCTCATGATGGTCAAGAAATGTTACTCACTCCCGAGAAGTCTACAGAGATCCAGAATTCCATTGGAGCTGATATTATTATGCAGCTGGATGATGTGGTCAGCAGCACTACCACAGGTGACTGGACTGGATTGAAACACAGTCCTTCCCTAACTTGCAACACTTTTTTAGATATTAGCTACACTGTTCTGTCTCTGGCCTAGAATTTGAAAAGACATTTTACATTCTCTATAAGGGAGAGACTGAGTATACAATGTTGCATGTTGGGTTCTCTGGTCATTCTGTGATAGGATGTGAGAGATTTTTAAGAAAACGACAAAACATTTGAGTTTATAAAACATGTTTTGACAGAAACTTCTGTCGTCTTCAGTTAATCCAAGTACAAAGCTATGGAAGCTGAATTTATAGTAAGTAGAAAATGCTAATTGTGATAAAGAGTAACCACAGAATGAAGCAACGCATTAAAGTGTGAGAATTAAAGAGATAATTTTAGATTAACATGAATTGTTGACTCAAAGAGGGTTGTTCTCTCTGAATATGAATAGCCTCTTTTATCTTAAGTTGAAAACTGGTGGAGGCATGATCCAAAACATGGAAGAAATGTGCTGAACACAAGGCATGACAATGTTCAGAATTTTGCAGATGTTTGAAAAGCTTCCTTCTCTTTTTACTTGGATTAACTGAGGATGACAGAACTTTCTTTCGAAACATGTTTTATGAACTCAAAGGTTTTGTCCTTTTCTTAAAATTCTTGACTTGTTTGCTACAATCAAGACCCAGTTGAGAGATACGTGCACAATTTTTAAATATGTTTTGGTGAAATGAACAGATTTCTTTTTCAAGACATCCAAAGTTTTAGACAATTGGTAATGTACATTGTACATGTGACATATTGACAAGCTCTTTACAGTATCTTTGATTGGCTGATTTTCCCAGTTCAAGTACCAGTAATAACCAATCAGAAATCACTGAACTGAACTGCCATGATGTTATGAAATTGTCAGCCTGCCAATTCTTAGATCTGACACACCTCAAAAAAGGATGTCGCAATGTGACAAGAGGCATTTATTTGTCCTAGGGAGGTTGAGCAGGTAAGGGGGTAATGGTAAGGGAGGCTCATGTATATAACAAGAGTGCTGCTTCTGCTCCTTTTTTTTTTAGTTATTGATAAAAGTTTTTATGATTATTTTAGGTCCTAGAGTTGAAGAGGCCATGTTGCGCTCGATCCGCTGGTTGGACAGATGCATTGCAGCACATGCCAGACCAACAGAACAAAATCTGTTTGCAATTATCCAGGGAGGATTAGATCCAGAACTTAGGAAGACTTGTGTGAAAGGTGTGTTACTGTTATGTCCATAATCAAGCTTTATAGTTTTTTTTTATGTTTTGCTTAAGTTTAATTTTGAATACCTGGACGCTTAAGGTTGACATTATATTTTTGATTCATCTGCAAATTGATCAAATTATCAGTCTTACATAATTAAAGTTGCCATAACTGGAAAAGTCCTGTGAGTACTTGTGGCTGTTATTGCAGTTGAGTCCACACTCAGTCAAATATTCTGTGGTCTAAAATAATATTTATTGTCTTTACACAAAGTGAAGTGGTTCTTTACAAAGCCAAATTGACCCATTTGCCTTGTTTGTTTGTAAAACCACTGATAAATGCAGTAACAGCTACTGGGTTTGGTGTACAGTAACTTTAATTTATTATTTTGTTAACGTCCACTGTCTTTAGTTAGAAATATGTTCTATCCTACTCAATTGTTTTAGCAGCATTCAAGTCTACATTTCTACTCTCTATTCTATTCTGACAAGGTGTGCTAATACATGTAATAGTTTAATGTTTCTGCTATGTGAACAGCCATGATGTGGTGTCACCATATAACTAAGAAATATCTACAATGTGGGAATTGTCTGTCACTTTGTTAAATTATTCAATCCCTAGAAATGGTTAAACGAAACACTCCTGGTATTGCCATTGGTGGCCTCAGTGGTGGAGAAGAGAAATCCTTGTTTTGCAAGACTGTTACTCTCTGTACAGATCTTCTTCCAAAGAGTAAACCAAGATATCTTATGGGGGTGGGGTAAGGATCATCATTTGTTTGTATGACATACAGCAGCTGTAAATGGCATCACCAACAGTATCCTCCTATCCTATATCTCTTTATGCCATAAGGCACATAAGGCTTTCACACCAGTATCATCAATCACCAACTCCCAAAAAAGAGGATTTATATACATGTATAGTAAGAAAAATTATGTTCATAACATTACTTACCCACTGAACATTGAGGGCAAAAATCATAAATTAAATGACATCATTCTTTCAGAATCAAGCAATACAGAATTTGCCACTCTAGAACAGAAATTTGTTGCTTATTTTTAGCTATGCTGTAGATCTTGTGGTGTGCTGTGCTTTAGGAGTGGACATGTTTGACTGTGTTTATCCAACAAGAACAGCAGTAAGTGGACTCTCAGCTGATCTATCAATGCTCTATGACTGGTCCTTTTACAGTAGTTGTTACATTTTTTCCACTTACAGACACATGTTCAGGAGTTACAAAAGGTATTATCAAGTTTTATGTAGCCTTTAAGAGAAAAAAATGGCTTCATTCCAATGCCTTTGAGAAATACAAATGTACATGTATGCATAATAATTATTATTTCCTTTCACTTCTATGATGTAGCATATGCATGTACCTTGCATTAAATGTCACCTTAGTTTGAATCCTACTTCTACACTAGCTGTAGCAACAATGTGTAAGGCAGAGCGCTTTATGAGTCTTACAGCCAATATGATCATGGCTAAACTGACCAGTCACTTTGAACAGACCAGACTTATAACACCATCAGCTGTCAAACATTGTTCACTCGACTCTCAAGATGACTTAATCTGCTCAGGTTGTCGAAATGTCAGTCACCAACAACAGTTCTTTTCAGAACTACCCTCACCTGGATGATCACACTATACGAACTGCAGATAGCTTTCTTTGCATGTTTTTTTGTTTTGTTTTGTTTTTTAACTTTCTTCATTTGAATTGTACTGCAGAGATTTGGCACAGCTTTAGTACCATGGGGTCAACTTCACTTAAAGAATAAACAATATGCAACGGATTTTGAACCTGTCAACAAAGACTGTGGATGTTGGACCTGCAGACATTACACCAGGGCATATATCAACTGTTTACTTGGCAGAGAAGAAGTTGCTTGTCACTTGTTAACCCTTCATAACATTTACTATCAAGTATGTTACAGAAGGCTCCATTATTTATTTATTAATACCAATTCCAAGTCAAAAATAAAATGCTCAAACAAACCTTTCTTCTTTCATGTAACATTATCTGGCTGGATTCAATGGATGTACTGTTCAGTAAAGATTTTGGAAGATTTCACCAAAAGAAATTCAAGAAAATCATAAATTTAGGCAGGGGGGGGGGGGGGGGGACAGTTTTCATTCAAAACTAACTGCCATCATTTTAACAGAGATGCATTATTTCATCATTGCTCATTTCAAAGTTTCAGTGAACTGGGTCCAAAATGAATGCAAAACGAAATTTCAAAATGTAACACTAACATGTGCAACACAATAAATGATTATCCTGTGGAGCCAACAATGGGTAGAGTTGATTGAGGCAGGGGCTGTAAGCTGTTCCATATCTACAGCTGGATGTTTGAGTACCAGGCATTAAAACCACACAGTTGTCAGGTAGAGTTGTTTAAACCAAAAAAAAAAATCCATGGGGGATGGGAGGAGTATGGTTATTTAAATCTGGAAGTTGTGTGTAAATTACTTCAACTAGAATAAAATACATAATTTTGCATGTGGTTCTTGTCTCTGTGTTGCTTAGTTCCTGGGCTTCATTATTTTCCTGTGTTAACTGAGATACGTTGTACACGTGTTTGGTGATTGTGACATCAGCACATCCACATACATGCAGCTTCAGGGTCAAGCGCTGAGGAGCTAGGCAACACTGACACAGCTCTTTGACAACATTGTTGATCTTTACACATAATTTATAATTTAAATTTTCAGATGCAGCTAATGCGAGACATCAGAGAAAGCATCAAGCAAGACAAGTTTCCTGACTTTGTTCAGGGTTTCATGAAAACGATGTTTCCAGATAATAGTTATCCAGACTGGGCAGTAAATGCTCTAGCCTCTGTTAATATCATTTTGGACAGTCACCAAACAGATGATAGCAAACAAGAGAAACCACTAGAAGCAAAACATGAAAAATATGTCACTCCTGGTGAATGTAATTCTTCAGTAATCAAGTGATAAAGAATGAAAATTAGTATGTTATAGTACACTATTCTAGCAAATATCATACAAAGTACATGTAATCAGGAACTTCTCAGAACAGCAGAAATGAAACTTACATAATGCTCACTATTCAGGAGAGATACAGTCCTTGTAGGACTAAAAAGCAATGTTATTTAAAATTAGTTTAAAATCAGTTACAACTTACATGTCAAGCCTCTAAAACATGCAAGGAACCAGATCTGTAAGTTGGTCTGTAACTGTAAATAATAAGCAATTTTCACTTCTTATTAAAATACAGTTTGAACAAAGGCATTCAGTTCTAAATGTTCACTCTATATAAACATTGATTAAACACTGCCTTAATTACATCAGCTTAAGTTTGATTAAGATAAATAAACCACTGTTATTGATGGTGAATTTGGAAAGTTGAATTGCTAAAGCTGAAGGGCAGTCAGTTGATCTTCTTTCCTCAGCCTTTATCTTGCAAGGATATGTGAACTATGTGACACAACAACACCATAAAAAATTGAGTTTTACTGATATCTCCAGGAGTCTCTTGCACGTTTTTTAAACTTCTCATAAAAGAAGTCATCTGTTGCTTTTTCAACTTTGTCGCCAGGTCTTTTCTTGTTTGAGATGGCTGCTGGCACATGCACGGTAGTTTCAGTCTCCTCAGCCTTGCTGCTTGCTGCTGCAGTCGAGTTAGTGCCCTTCACTGTTGGTTTCTTGATTGCTTTTTCTTGTTCCAGTGCCTTGTCTCTAGCTGCAGCAGCTCTCTTGCTTTCTGCATCAATGTTCTTTTGCTCATCAAAAACTAAAAGAAGTAAATCATTTTTAAGTCAGGAAAGATGATAATTTGTTTCATTTTTGTTTGTACATTGTGTGATTGTTTGGTTGAGAGTACATGTAGTTCTGCAAGGTAAAAGGAATATTGGTGACTGATATTTTGACAATCTGGGTGGGAGTCAGCTGTGATTACTCACCAACAGTATATTAAAATAAACAAAATAAATTACAATATTTAGAGAAACTGAAAGCAACAACTAGCCCAAGCTGGTTTTCATTCAGGTCTGCTATCCAGGTTTAAATGGAATTTGGAAAGGGTGGTTTTTAAGGATGGAAGGAAAACTGGAGAACCCAGCAAAAAAAACTTTTGAGCAAGGCGACACCTGGCAGGAATGAAAGCTGAGCCACATTGATGGGAGGATAGCACTTTTACCACTATTCCATCCCTGCTACTTGGGAGTTGGTTTTGGACTACCCTTATCTGGATGATAAAAATGCTTCTCAAACTCATTAATAATTCATCAAGTTAAAACAAAGAAATTCACAGCCATGAAGGAGATTTGGATACCCAGTCTTCAGTAGCATAGATTTTGAACATTTTACTTCTCTGTTTACTCCTTAGTTTTTGTTTCGATTGAGAAGATATATCAAACACTCGAGACAGTGTTTCATCGGCTATCCAAACACCTTGGTTCTCGTCAAAATACTCTGTTGTGTGTTGTATTTTCAACTCCCTTCTCGGTGTTTGGATATCCTGATGACACACTGTCTCTCTTGTTTGATATATTACATCATCTCCCTTCATTGCGAGAGTTGGTGCATGAGGCTGTTATAATAATGCATGAACTCTTGGAAATACTTCAGATTCAAACAAATTTCTGCATTGATAAAATGATACATAGTTAAGTTAATGCCCGGTCACACTGTAGTGAGTAACTGTACGAGGAAGATGGCACTTACATCTGCTGTGTAACATAAAGTTGACCGCCATGTTAGTTGGCACCATAGCAGTTGGTCCTTTTGACTTTTTATTCCGTTGTTCTTCAATGACTTTTTGTTTAGCTTCTTCAGTAGCCTCAATGTTCCTTATTTTTGCATCAATGCCTAGATCTACCTCAGGAATCCCAGATAACATCTGATTTGACAGCATCTCCTCTGATGCCATAATCTTTGACCGCACATTAATATTTTCAGGAACCTGGTACAGTAAATCTTCTTTGGACTTTGGCTTCGGTCTGCAATAGATAATATTATTTAAAACATCATAAACAAGTTTTGAAGGAATATTATACCACAAATTTAATCTTGTCTTTCAATTGCAATTACAGGTAATACTTTCTTATCTTGGACAGCAAATACCTACTTGCTTTGAATGGTTTTCTCTAGCTGAACACCTTTCCTTTTCGCCATCTCCTCTTCAATGTATTTCAACATGTGTGTATCTTCATCTCTTCTGTTCGTCTCTGCGGCAAAATTCGCTCCTAAGTTAATGGACTTTTCTTTGTCCTCCCCTTCCCTGTCCCTATTTCTATCCTGAATCAAGCTGTTCAACTCTACAAGTCCTCCTGTCTTAAGCTTGAACGGATCGCTTTCAACCTCCTCTTCTGGGGCCAGCGTTTTACCAAGGGCCAGAGCCACGGCTGAAACTCCTGCCTGTCTTTTGCGAAATCGCTGCATTTCCTTTCTTTCTTCAATTACTTCACTTGCTGAATTGGTTTCTTGTTGATCATCGTCGCTCTCTTCTGTTTCCCGGCGTTTTCGATAATTTCTTTGAGGCATTTTTGTGAGAGAAATATTTCCAGATTAAAACTCAAATGAACGACGCCATAATGTTTTTGTGCAAAATGCGAAAGCCTGGGGTTGACTTTCTCGAAAAGCCGCTGATTCATTTACCATGTATTCAGAAAATTCAATATGGCGGATGGACATTCGGACAAGGATGAAAGCGTAGCCGAAAAAGACCCGTTATCTTTCTTTACTGCTGGAGATTCTAGCTCCAGTTCAGATTCAGAGAGCGACAAAGATGCGGAAGAACATGAAGAAGGAACATTAACATCTAACAGTTCAGGAAGAAAGCCATCATTAACTAAGACAAAGTTACCTTCCCCAACAACTTTGTTTGCAACAGTGGGGAGACCAGCGTTTTTAGAAAGCAAAGAAGAGAGCCATGTTGACTGGGATTCACTGTCAAAGCGTTATGAACCGAATACATATTCAGCTCCTCCTGTGCAGTTTTCTTCTGTGGCAGAGAGCAGAGAAAGCGAAGAATACGAGGATGCCGTCATATCATCAGCGCCAGTCAAATACGGCAAAGAGATTTCAGACATACAGAAGCATCTTGTCATCCATGATAAAAGATCTGTGAAAGTGGCCTTGAATATCCTGAACGATAGAGGTGAGACTGAATAAATGTGTGACATCTTCAAATGTTTCTTCTTGACAACTCTCCAGTGTTCGGATGCGTTTGCAGGTGGGTCGAGGGGTGGGGGAGTCGGGGGGAGGGGGTAGAATTGAAATTCTGCCAGCAAGATAATTTATGACCAGGCAACAGTGAGGGGGACTGAAACTAACTGTTTGTTTCATTAGAATCGTTGCATTATAACGTGTTTTTTTGTTTGTTTGTTTGTTTGGTTTTTTTTTGTTTTTGTTTTTCTGTTCTTTTTTTTTTGTTTTGTTCTTTTTTTTAGGAGAAAGTACACCAAAGAAACAGAAAACAGATAATTTTAGACAAAAGGAGAAAAGAAAACGAGATCAGGGACAATCATCGCGAGGAAAGAGCTATGTAGAGGAAGAAAAGAGAGTACTGCGACAGGACTTCTCAGCTGAATGAGAAATTTGCAAAATATACCAGTGGGCGAAAAACTGCAATAACAATAACAACATGCAACTGACTTTGGAAAACATGCCATTGGCCTGGCTGACTGGCACCTGTTGCCTTGATCTTCACAGCTTTAACAAACTTGTTGTTTTATTGGTGGTATAGAACAAGCACACACTTTTCAAGGACCCATCTCACTGTTATATAATCATATGAGGTAATTAAATCTCTAGGAAACAAAAGCATCATAAATTTTTGTTCCTGGCTAATAAACTTGCCTACTAACATAATAATTCAGTTTAGCACCAGGGGCACTTATTTGCTTTTGGTGCTTCAAGGGAGGGTTCCTATTCAAGACAGAGAGTTTATTTGGGACAGTGTGCTTATTTCCTTTTTGAGAAACAACCGAATGTTCAAAACAAAACTTTAATACGGTGTGAACCTACGTTGATAGGTACTCTGACGGTGCTGCAATATTATAATATTAGAATGGGGGTGCTTATTTGAATAGGAGTGCTTGTTATTCAAAAACATATTCGAAGGGGAGCGCTTATTCGAAAGGGGGTGCTTATTGGAAGGAGCGTGCTAAATCGAATCATTACGGTAACTTAAAATAATAGAAAGAAGAAATCTCCACTTGGGACCAAATAGAGAGCAGTTACCAAACCTTAAAGGGCTGATAAATTAATTATAAATCACTGCAAAAAACGTTGACTGCCATAATGTTTCCAAAGTTTGAGTGTACACTATTACTGAGCCTTTCAGTAACTCGAACTCTGAAGCTCAAAACCTAACATCACCTAAATAACAACTGCGTTTTTGGCTGCGTTCAATCATAATTAGGTCAAGAACCAACGAAACTTGAAAAGAAGAAACAAACATAATGGATCCAAATCTACTGATCACAACACACAGACACGNTTTGTTATGTTTTGTTTTGTTTTTCGTTTTTGTTTTTTCAGGAGAAAGTGCACCAAAGAAACAGAAAACAGATAATTTTAGACAAAAGGAGAAAAGAAAACGAGATCAGGGACAATCATCACGAGGAAAGAGCTATGTAGAGGAAGAAAAGAGAATACTGCGACAGGACTTCTCAGCTGAATGAGAAATTTACCAAATATACCAGTGGGCGAAAAACTGCAATAACAATAACAACATGCAATTGACTTTGGAAAACATGCCATTGGCCTGGCTGACTGGCACCTGTTGCCTTGATCTTCACGGCTTTAACAAACTTGTTGTTTTATTGGTGGTATAGAACAAGCACACACTTTTCAAGGACCCAACGCACTGTTATATAATCATATGAGGTAATTAAATCTCTAGGAAACAAAAGCATCATAAATTTTTGTTCCTGGCTAATAAACTTGCGTACTAACATAATGATTCAATTTAGCACCAGGGGCTTTTATTTGCTTTTGGTGCTTCAAGGGAGGGTGCCTATTCAATACAGAGAGCTTATTTGGGACAGTGTGCTTATTTCCTTTTTGAGAAACAACCGAATGTTCAAAACAAAACTTTAATATGGTGTGAACCTCCGTTGATAGGTATTCTGACAGTGCTGTCATATTATAATATTAGAATGGGGGTGCATATTTGAATAGGAGTGCTTATTAATAAAAACATATTCGAAGGGGAGCGCATACTCGAAAGGGGGCGCTTATTGGAAGGAGGGTGCTAAATCGAATCATTACGGTAACTTAAAATAAAAGAAAGAAGAAATCTCCACTCGGGACCAAATAGAGAACAGTTATCAAGCCTTAAAGGGGTGATAAATTAATTATAAATCACTGCAAAAAACGTGGACTGCTATAATGTTTCCAAAGTTTGAGTGTACACTGTTACTGAGCCTTTCAGTAACACGAATTCTGAAAGCTCAAAATCAAAACCTAACATCACCTAAATAACAACTGCGTTTTTGGCTGCGTTCAATCATAATAAGGTCAAGAACCAACGAACCTTGAAAAGAAGAAACAAACATAATGGATCCAAATCTACTGATCACAACACACAGACACGACACATACATATGTATTTGAAGCCAATGGAGTAAACTTTAGTTTCCTGAAGTCCGCTAAGATTGACGGAAGCGAAAAACGAAAGTGTTGATAGATTCGACTTTGAGTGTTGACTAACTGTTACAAGGATATTAGGACTGAAACGCTGCTTTCAGAAAAGATAATCAGATTTCGTCGAGGTGATTTTTCAAGCGTTAAGCTCGAGTTTTAATCGTAGATTCAGTTTTTATCTCCGCTTTGAAAAAATTATTCGCGCACGACATAACGCCAACAATGCAGACTGGTGGAACTGACCTCTATTGCTCATGTTCAGTAATCGTTGCGACAATAATCGCTCCGATCAAATTAAGTGCAAAATAAAGTGAAGCCAAGTTGAAGTTGAAGATCACTGAAGAGCCTTACCATATGAAGATAGCGATGGCTGAAGTTTCGGTTGTAATCATCGTTAGCGGTGATGGTGGTGATCTTATAGAAATCAGCCCTGATGGAAGGTGCGGAAGACCATTGCTGTGTAAAAATGGAAATCTAAGGCTATTGAGGTTTTCCAAACATTGACGCTCTTCCACGGTGACTTTTAGTGTGTGTTGCTTTTCTCGAAACCCTGACCCTATTTCAGGCCAATGTGTGTGACTTTGGTTGTTCTATTTTGGATTTTAACCCACTGGCAAGTCTCTTCCCAAACTGTAAACCAGAAAATACTTTCTTGTACATCAAATAAGGGCATTACATTTCCCACGAATTTTCCATTTTTATGGGGAAAAAATTAGTATCTTGTAAACAACTTACATAGGTCTAAGCCAGTGAGTGAGGAAAACATCACTATGGCCAGTCAAAATTGATACCTTACCTCAGGCAAAAAAACCTCAAAATCCATACTCTGCTGCCGAACAGAAATGGAGTGCTTATATGAGGAAGTGCCCCTCCATACCCCCNCCCCTCCCTCACCCCGTCCTCTAGCCTTTTCCAGGAGTTTTGTTAGTTTGGGAACAGCGCGAATAACGACGAGAGTAAAAAGGACCCCATTGCTTTTGGACATAACTGTGACCGGAATTCAATTTAAACTCTCGGCACTTTTTTGCGCTGCTCTCCAAATAACCGAATGCACGGCTGGATTAGGCTATTGTCATGCCGGGACCTAGAAAGGCGATCATGATGTACAAGATATTTTATTATTTAACTATAACTTTACGGCGGGCGATTAACAGGCCTACACAACTACTACTGTTCGTGTTTTTCCACCTTGTATATAGCCTGCGAATACAACCACCTCGAGTGCCGCTCCCGTCCGGTTCAAACGCCAAACCAACGGAGAGCGATCTCCTCCTATCGTACTCAGCCGGTTTAGGCGTTAAACTGACGCAGAGCGACGGAAGGTGGTCGTATTGGTAGGCTATACTCCGCTGATGTTTTCAAGACTTCAGTGTTACGTAGCTTCCAGTGTCGCTGAGATTTCTTTCAGTGTTTGTCCACAAGTTGAAGCAACATTTTTGCTTTCTAGAGCCTTTTAGAATCCTAAGCAATTTCTACCTTTTCCTAGAAAGTGGAGCATTTTTTTTGTGCGTGTTTGTCTAAACTGATCCTGCGACATTGCCAATATATAATGCTCAATTTTTGCAGTTTCGTGGACTTAGGCTATAGCTGTTTCGCAGCTGTTTTCAAGATACCAGCCCAATCTACTTCGACTCGGCGGCTATTTTAAAGAAAATTCTGGGGCGGATTGGTTAAGGGAGTTCGGGTCCGGAGGCATGTCCCCCGTTCGCTCCCGCCCCCCGCCCCCCCTGAAAATTTAAAAGTTTGAGGGATGATTGTTGGCTGTTTAATATCTTTGAAATCATCTCTGTTTTGAGCTGTGTAAACAAGGGCTACGCTTAGGTATTAACATTAATCAATGCTTACCTTCCTGATGACCTACCTAGTGGCAGTCCAAAAAAGCCTATTAAATCGCTGCTGTCTTTTGGACATGGCTGTGACGGAATTCAATTTAAACTCTGGTTCGTTTGAGAAAGGTAGTGGATTTTCGTGCGCCGGTGACAGTCGAAATCTTTGTGAACGATTACATAACTCACTGATGAGCTGATTAACAAAGAGCTTCCTGGCGTTAAGCTCCGAAATCCGTTGATAGAAAAACTGTCACTTTTGGTGCCCATGTAGAATTTGACGGGAGCGTAAATAATGTGTTAATTTACCAAATAGACAAATAAAAGAGAAAGTGCTTATATACGCTTAAATAGAACTTACTTAAGACAGCAAGTAATTAAAAACCAGAAAAATACTCTCGTCCATCTTTCAATGTTACTTTTGTTCCTTTCAAGTAAGTCTTTGTTTTTATTTCAAAAGAAGAACCTGAAATATTTATTGTCGATAGGGGGTTTGACCGAACCACCTGAACCCTACCTCCCCCTCCCCCTCTCCCTCCCCTACTCCGCCTCCGCCTCGGTTGGTTCGCCCCAGAAATAGACCTTTTTAGCTTGTGCGGGTTAATGTTGTCCCATTTCAGACCATGTGATGATGCTCTTGATAAGTCTTCCCATAGTCGCACGTATGTGAATGAATAATTTTTAGATGGGGAAAAGAACAATTCTCTAGAGATTATCAGGCGGTCTGCAATGGGAAACAAACCGCCCTTGTCCCTTGGGGGACGATAACAGAGATTCTAGCAGTCGTGCTTGAGTGACTCAGGCCAAAAAAACAAGTCAACGTTCTTCAAATGTTTTGAAGGCCATGTACCTCTAATACGTATGTTCGTTTAAAGTAAGGACAGTCAGTTATCAACTCCTTTTGCTGTAAAATTACAAGAAATTCTTTGAAATCTAACTTTTAGAGTCAATTACCATAAATTTTATCGACACATAATAACAGAAAAGATAAACTTTTTCAACAAAAAAAGCAACTTTTTGGATTCTTGCAGCAACTTTTAAGTAACTTTTCGAGAAATGGTGAGCAAGGACTTGAAAAATGTAGAGCATCTTGTGGACAGCACCAGCATGAGTTGTATTCTTATTCAAATACGTTTCCGGTTTGTTTAGCAACATCATTAGGCCGACGACAACACAAACGTCCTGTTTTACGAGTCCTTCGACATTTATATTTTTAAATATATGTCCTCATGGAACTGAATGATTTGCCTCGTTCATGAATGGTGCTGATCGTGATGTACTTATATATGGCAAGTGTTTCGGCACTGATATCCAGCCATGGCATCGGCTTTGCAGTTCTTATGTAATCCAAAAGCCTGGATTACGATCTCAATTACTCGGCCATATATCAATGGCATACTGAATACTTAAGAGATTGTTTTGTGAAAATTTGCTTTCAAATTTGATATCAAAAGGCAGTGATAATTAATCATCATCGGTACCGCGGCCGTCCGGATCTTTTTAGTCACATCTAATCCGTTTACATGTCAGTTTCAGTCTACCATGACATCAGTGGCATGACATGACATGATAAGAATAACAAAGAAGAACACTAGTTGCAATTCAATGCATTCGGCAGGCATTCATGATCAATGCCGATGGCGAGGAATCTCACTCGCTCCAAAACCTCACGTCAGCCCGGCTCTAAGACAAAGCTTCCAAGATATAGGTCGAAATCGAAACTTATAATCGAAAGAAATATAATCTTAAACTTGACTAAACTTCCAGCCAATTTTCCGCTAGTTTTTTGCTCAACTCATGATCTTTGGGACGGGGTACAAAGGGATCCAAGAGGACTCTTAGGGAGGGGGTGATAGCGGTTGTCTGTAGGCTGTACTGTACTACGAGAAGTAAGGCAATGACTTCCTCCCCCCCCCCCCCCCCCCCCC